TTATTAAATAATATAGAATTTACTTTTAAATATTTTAAATAACATAGTTTATATTACATTATTAATATCAAATTTTAATCTTATTTATTATTATTTTAATATTTAATGTGTTATTTAAATAAAAAATGAGTTAACTAAATCAAATCACCTTTATTTAAAAAGTAATATAACTAAATTTAATTAAAAAAAAAGTATATGTCAAACTACAAAAACAAACAACTCATTTTAAATTGGGTATTTTTTTCCCAAAAATTATGTGATTAATTTAGTTTTATCAACTAATAAAAAAAAAATCCCCAAGAGCTCAAAAATCGGCGAAAAAAACATGTGACGTGAACTCAACGGGGTGGGGTAGACACGAACTATTTATGCACCCTGGCACAGCACCCACCGTTTACTAAAATCCAATTGGGCTGGCAGTTGGACAATTCAGGTCCAACTCAAAACGGGCTTTTTGTTATCCAACTTGGGTGGCCCAAGAGGCCGAAAGAGGCACAGAAAGGATATTGATTACACCTCTCCGATGGTTATAAGTTGTCGAGGGACTTCCTGAGATAACTATTGTCAAGAACTGGGGAAGAAGAAAATATTCCCAGAATCCTCAGTATGGAGGATTCCAGTGAAGATTAAGAATTGAATTTTTTTTTAATTTTATTTTATGTGTGTTGGAAACTGGCTGACTGGTTTATTTATTTGATTCCTCATCTATTTGCTTTTTTTATTGGTGCATCTTCATCTATTTGCTTTTGTTGCTGAATCAGTTTGATGATGATTCATCAGCTGCTTGAGGATGGTGTTCTAGATGGTGTCTATATTTCAACTCCCATATCTTATGCCTGCCCAACTGAAGTCCTGTGGCATGAAATATCTTAAATAAATGCAGGGGCTAGCTTTTACATTGTTGGTGGAGACCCTGCTGGAATGTGGCCATCAACTCGAGAAAAGAGATTCACATGATGCTTGATCATGGAACAAGGTATATATTAAGCTCAATTCTGGGACTTAAATGGCTAAATATCTTTCCTTTCGAGGTACACATAGTATTTAGGATTCAATGTGTTCACTGAAATCAGAGCATTACTCTGTCACATAAATATGCGAAATCGTTGATCCTTGTCAATTGATTTTTATTCAGGTTGCTGCGTTTGATAAGAATAAGGGTACCTTTTTTCTTTTCTTTTGATCAGCAAGAATAAGGGTAACTAACATTATTTGATTCAACAAAGGGTTCAAAACTTCTTCACATTGGGCACCAAGGTATCTTTTCTCCACATACTCCTGAGATTCATGTTGCTTCGGTAGTTGGCGAGTGCTTATCAAATGTTACAATAATAACTTATTCATCTTTGCAGCATGTTGCATATTGATTTTTGATATTTCTTTTGATTACATTCAACCAAAAATTAAACATGTTGAACTATCCATGTCAAAAGAATCAAAGTTATTTTATTATATGTTTTCCTATATAATCCATACAAATAGAATTAATGAAGGAAATTGTGAATCAAATTACAGTATATCTATGCAAAAATTGAAAGAATGAATAAATTATAGCCTCTACAAACATAAAGGAGAATGTTGAATTTTGGGTGATAAGAAGGAGGGAGAAGGGGGACATTGAGAGAGGACTTGGAGGAGAAGGAGAGACACCCGGAGTTTCCTCTTTGGGGAGGTTAGAACCCATTTTCTTCCATTGATATTCTGCTATTTATAGCAGAAACAACACAACATAACATAGAACATAAAGCCATAAACACGGAAGGATGCAGACATTCACCCAACCGGAGAGGAAAAACCATGCTTTCTCTTTCTCTCAATTTTCATCAATTTCTTCGTTCCTTTTTATAGAGGAAGGCTACATGTAAAATAATAATTTTTTTTACTTAATACAATAATTATTAACTACCTAAACCATTGACTAAAATGAAGAAGTTTTCTGTCATCTCTTGTTGCCATGTGAAGCTCCATGCTGCTATCAGCTACTGTTCAGTCATGTTGCAGCATCATTTAGCAGATTTCATTTGATTGCATTTTCAGCTTTCATGCCATAGCTCCACCAAACTTCGCCTTGGCATTAAAGCTGCAGAAACAAAATTTTACTTTAGAACATTGCTCTGCCATTTTCAGTTCTTTGTGCCTTGGTTTCGTTTGTTATTTGCTGCCAACTACCATCTTCTTAAATATTTCAACTCCTCTTGCAAATCAGCTTCACATGCATTAGATTTTTGCAATTTGAACAGATTCTGGAGCCTTAAACATTTTCAGCAACTCCACCATTGTAGCAGCTTTGTCCATGGATCTTTACTGCTTCAGTACATTCTGGAGTTGTTATTTTTTCTCCTCCACCAAACTTCTTTGCCATAAAGCGATGGAGTTCACAAATACATAAACATGAAGAGTTTTTTTTATGAAAAAAGCTCATAACATTCAGAAATACAAACATAAAAGATGGTAGAAGAACACACAATGAAACTGAGATGTTGTGCTCAATTTTCCTTTGCCGTTATCTCCATCAAACATTCTTTGCCATGAAGCCATGGGAGTTTGGAACATCAAAGCCACATCCATGAAGAGTTTTCTTGGGAAAACTCAAAACATATCCATATCAAACGTGAAAGATGGATGTAGAATATACCATGAAATAGAGTTCTTGTGCTCAGTTTCCCGTTCCATCAACCATGATTTGCCTTTTGGACTGATTTTGGAAACAAACATGGACACCTTCTCTTTGAATCCAGTTTTCCTCTCCTTGACATCTCCCATGGTGGGACTAACATATGCCTCCATCTTTACAGCTTTTTTAGCTGCAAGATTTTGGCCAAGCAAGAGGGGTTTCACATGAAGAACCATCTGAAAACAATGAGAAAGGTGGGTTTTTTTCTAGTGTTCCCTCAAAAAACAAACTCTCACAAATCTTTCAAGAATTCAGCTCTGATACCATGTTGGATTTTGGGTGGTAAGAAGGGGGGATTGAGAGAGAACTTGTTGGAGAGTAGAACTTAGAACATTACATGGAACATAAAGTCTTAAACATGAAAGGGTGCAGATAGTCACCCAACCGGAGAGGAGAAACCATGCTTTCTCTCTCTCTCAATTTTCATCAATTTCTTTCTTCCTTTTTATAAAGGAAGACTACACATAAAATAATAATATTTTTCTACTTAATACATTAATTAGTAACCACCTAAACCATTGACTAAAATGATAAAGTTTGCTGCCATTTCTCGTAACCCACGTGAAGCTCCATGGTGCTGTCATTTTGTTGCTACTGTGCAGTCATGTTGCAGCACCCTTTAGCAGATTTCATTTGATTGCATTTTCAGCTTTCATGCCATAGCTCCAACAGATATGCAAGCAAATATTTAAAGAAAGAATGAATTTTTGAAGCATTATGTGCATTTCTTCCATTTGAGATAGCTGAAAATAGGTCTCTCTGGCATCGGTATGCACTTGACAATCCAGCCAATGGGCCAAGAGACCGCAGCCATGGCGATGCAGGCGCCCCATTGTCCCCAATTCAACCTCTCTGTACCTGCAAACCGCTTTAGAAACTCCACCATCAGCACCTGAAGAACAATGGTCATCCCGATGATCCCTAAAAATAGCTTGTTCTTATGAATACCCTTGAACACATTCTTCTTCTCCAGCTTCCTTGCGTTGAATTCATTGAAAACTTGGCAGAGCACAAAAGTGTTGAAGATAAAGGTGTCATTCACTAATTCAGTCACACTGAAGATTGATTCTCCTCTGAATTGTAGGATCAAGAGTACTGCAACCTGGTAAAAAGCTTGAGCTAGGAGGTTCCTCCACATGATATTGGTAATCAGTGGCTCTGTGCGACCAACAGGTGGCTTCTTCATCAACTCCTTGGTGGGCTTCTCTGTAGCCAGAGCCAGAGCACCCAATGTGTCCATGATCAAGTTCACCCACAAAAGTTGAACAGCTGTTAAAGGAACTTCACCTACAGAAATGGCTGCCACGAAGTTGATCACCAGAGCAGCAACATTTACTGTCAACTGGAATTGAATGAATTTCTGTATGTTGGTGTAAACACATCTGCCCCACTTCAGAACGGTGACTACGGAAGCAAAATTGTCATCCAAGATGACAATATCGGAGCTCTCTTTCGCAACTTCCGTTCCTTGAATCCCCATTGACAATCCAATGTCAGCTTCTTTGAGTGCTGGAGCATCATTGGTACCATCTCCAGTGACTGCAACTACATGCCCTTTCTGTTTCAAGCATTGCACCATGAGAAGTTTGTCAAAAGGAGACGATCTTGCCATAACGCAAATCTTCTCCACCTTCTCCATCCTCTCTTCTAGTGTATAACTCCGGAATTCCTCGCCTTCCACAACGACTCCACTATCCATGTCCTGACCTGGCCGAAGAATCCCACATTCAGTGGCAATAGCTCTTGCTGTGAAGACATTGTCGCCCGTAATCATTTTGATGTTTACTCCAGCATACTGGCACTCCTCCACCGCCTTCTTAACCCCTGGCCGACAAGGATCCTTGATACCTACAAGTCCCAACAAGATCAAGTTTTCCTCTTTAAGCCTTTTCTTCTCTTTCACATTTTGTTCCTCTGTTTCTGCAACTTGTTTGTGAGCAAAAGCAATGCACCGGAGGCTGCTTGCCGCCATTCCCTGAATAATTTTCTTGAATTCCACCCTTTCTTCTTCATTAAGATCTTTCATAACTCCCGAAGCATCATAGTAGCTTGAGCACATAGCCAGAATCATTTCTGCTGCTCCTTTCCAATGAACGTGAACTGTGCTATCTTCTTTCTTCTTGATCAGAACTCCACTCCGTTTCTTCTCAGAATTGAAAGCTTCCACAAAGAGAATTGTGAAGTTCCTCTTTATTTCCTCCTGATCCATCTTCATGTCTAGAACAGCCCAAGAAAGAATTGCTTTTTCCGTTGGAGTACCAGAGAATTCGAATTCCGATCCTAAAGAACCTCTGTAAACACTTCCGGTTGTGTTCAGAGCAACTCCTTGATGAATCAAGTTAACAGCAAATGGAGAAATGGAAGAAGAAGCTCCATCCATGGTTTCCTTTCCCTGCCAAAACTTTGTCACCTTCATCTGATTAAGTGTAAGAGTACCTGTTTTGTCAGTGCAAATTGTGGTGGCAGACCCCATAGTTTCACAGGCGGAAAGCTTCCGGACCATCGCCTGATCCGCCATCATTTTCTTCATTGAATAAGCCAAAGTCAGTGTAACAGCCAATGGCAACCCTTCTGGGATAGCAACAACGACGATGGTAACAGCAGAAGCAACTATTCCCACCACAGCATTTATTATATCATCGGCTTTTGTGCTGCTTCCATTGAACTCTGTATTTCCATTCTCATCTGTAGTGTTTCCGGTCAAGTAACGAACCAACAACACTACAAGAACCAAGAAAGCCACTGCCAAACCAACCTTACCTATTGCCGATGTTAGCTTGTTTAATCGGACTTGCAGTGGCGTCTGCTCGTTTTTGTCGCCGTTCACATGGCTCATCATCTGGCCCCAAGTGGTGTTCATTCCAACGGCAGTGATAAGCATCTGGGCGTACCCATCAACCACCTTGGTACCAGAAATCAAGAACGGGTTTTTCTTTGAATTCACCTCAACATGGTCGCTCTCCCCTGTCATGCTGGATTCGTCTATCTGCAGAGCATGTCCGTCCAAGAACAACCCATCAGCTGGAACCTGATCCCCAATTTTTAGGCAAACAATATCTCCGACCACGACATCAAATATTGAAATCTGTTGCCGCCTGCCGCCTCTGATGACATCAATTTGGATATTGTTGCTGACTTTTGACAATTCGTCGAACTGTCTGTTCTGTCTGTAGTTGCTGATGGCAGAGACGCTAATGACCAGAAAAACAGCCACGAAAATACTCCCACCATCATACCAACCGTCTTTCAAGCCATGCTCCTTGATGCCAAAACCAAGAGAAAGTGCGGCGCAGCCGAGTAGGATCAAAATTATGAGATCCTTGAAAGCTTCCACCACAAAATGGAAGAAACTCTTAGATGGCGGTCTTTTGTAGGTGTTAGAACCAAATGCCTTACGTCGGCAAGCAATGTCCTCAGCACCGCCTTTGATTCCACTATCCAGGCTGGTTTGAAGGGAAGAAGCCACCGCATTCACTCCGCCAATTATGTGAAGCTTCCCAAGCTTTTTCTCTTTCACAATGTCGGCGAGAGTGGTCTCATCAATTTTGAAACAACCATTTTCCGGTGGAATTGGTAGACGGATATGATCAGGAAAGGGCGATACCGTGGAATTAGGAATCTTGACGAGAGAAAACAGAGTTCTTGAACAGTAGATGGTGACAAAAGCCAAACGCCATTTTTTTCTGTATTTGTTGAGGGAGGCAGGCCGACCATCGAGCAAATGGTCAGTGCACATTATGTGTGCTTTGTTC